ATAAACAGTAGAAGAAGCTTGACATTTCCATGGGAGATTCTGGTATGATTGCTCTTTTCACAGGCCTGATATTCTGATGATATTCTGAAGAAGCCAAAGTGGCACAGATGGGAAAAGCACAGCAGAATATTGAGAGTGCCACTGTGCCGTGAAGCTGCCAGATTATCCTTGCTTTGTGACGGACATTTTGCAAAAAAAGGAGAAAAAAAAACAAAAACGGACCAGATTTGCAGAAATAAGGGATATTGTCCATGCTCACAAAAGCCACAGGAGACAGCTGTGAGCAACAGCCCTGACAAATACAAAGCTCCTTTAGGGAAGTTGTCACTCTTGCACATATCAAAAAGAAAACAGAACTTACATTTTGAAGTGTGCATTTAAACTCTACAAAGAGGAATCATTACACTGAATTAATGTTTAGTTTGATATAATTTGACACCAACTGCATGAGTCTGTTTACAGCTGTAGTCAAGCAGGTACAACGACTATATCTGTTTGGCTTGTAGGACTACTCAATAAATGCGTAAGCTCTTATTTAGGGTGCTTTTGTATGAAAAAAAGACAACCACTGAGTTGGTCTTCTCCCAGTTCTCATTAAGACGAGCCTGCAGGCCAAAAATTACATCAAAGTATCCTTGGTGCCTTCACTCAGCTGTAGCAACGAAACGAGCTGCAGAGTGGGATTTAGAGACACAAGAGAACTATGAAATGCCTTCACATCAGCCTGCGAAACTCACGATGCACATAGATATGAAAACACATTACCTAAAAAATAACTAAATCATTAAGAAAGACGATTAAGAGGTGTATCGAAAAATTGTACTCATTAAAAAAATATACAAATTGTGTGTTAAAGACATCAGTTATTCGTAATGGATCTGTAAAATAATGTTTACTGTTTGCAGTGGATTAACTCCAGCTCTGCCTTTTTACCTCTGATCTGTGTGGTAGAATGAACACATGTGAGCGCCTAAGCCCTGCTCTTTATTAATGTAGCATGACAAAAATAAATAAAAATCCATTTGTCCACACTCAGACAGAGATATGTGCCAAACGGATTACACAATGGGCAGAATCAATATACATGTAGGAGTCAGAGGAGCACATCACAGCCCAGAAACAATTCTTGGTGTTTATAATTTTAGTATCTAAAGCAGCTTCCTGCTGCATCGATGTCGGTCCTAAACAAAGGTCTTGTGTGACCAGTTGGTGCTCAAAGTCTGTGTTGAGGAAGACTTTCAGCTACTCTCACATTAAATGTTAGTGTTTTCATCTTTTTTGTGTTTGCTAAGCTTGACAAGCTGTGTGCAAGCTTGAAACAAGTTCCAAAAGTTAATGAGTTGTAGATGTGTATCCAACGGTTATATTCTACAAGTTTAATTGTAATTTGTCAAATTCAGCTAACAGATACAGACACACACAGTCATGAACATGGGCAATTAAATGTGCACTCATCTCTCATGATGGTGTATAATGAAAATAGTTCAGTATGTAATAAATATCTCAAATGTCTAAATGTGTTGGGTACAAAAGGTGACCATGTTGAGTACCTGTTCTGAACAGGGCCCCTGAAGTTTGGGTCAAACTTGAGTGGTTCACCTGTAAAATAAGAACAGTGAGGTTGGATTAAACTTGAGCATAAAAAAGTAAAAAAAATAAATAAAAAAAAAATCACTGACAAAAGCCAACACAGATCATAACTATACAAAAAGAAGAAACTTGCCCATGGAAACTAATTAAGCCATTTCATAATGTAGACTTCCTCTACAGTCGTGGGAGAAAGATGACCACTGTAACATGGATGAGCTATTAAAAACAATATGTCTGAAACAACAAGGCAATATAATAAATCAGTTTAACTACGCCTCAAACAGCTTATCTGGTTCATTAAAAAGATTGGCCTTTCTACCCACAAAAGTAATACTAAACAGCATTTACATGCACCTTTAAGTCTCTCAAAGGACTAAGTGCTGAGCGTGTGCACCGTCAGATGTGATGGCAGAGTGTATATGTTTGCATTCAGCACTGTCTGTTGCTTTTTGTTCCATAAACAGTCTCTTTCCCAGCTGGAAGTACATATTACATGTTGCTGGGACCTATAGTATTAATCATCACATGTGGAGAGTATCATGAGTGGGTTTCCCATTCTTCCCTCCCTGCTGCCCAGAAGTCAAACCAGCCCCGCTGAAAAGTGCACAAAACAGGTTTTATTACAAAATGTCACAGATAAATACAATGTAATATGCACATGCAAATATTAAGGTGTCTGCTCAGAATGTGCAATAAGTTATAGGACATATAAACTCTCAAGCACAAACCTCTTCAATAAGAAAGAACAATCAATCTTTTTGACACACCTGCAAAAAGTCAGAAAACGTCTCTTCACAAGTACAACACAGATCAACCAGATAACGCCTTTTATCCAAGTAAACATTGTTTGACCCAAATTTAATGGGATTCACAAGCTCTTAAAACATTTTCTATGACTTGCTTTCACTACAAGAATGTGTTAGTCTGAAGGACAGAAACCCATTGGGTCAAAAGTAAAACAGGGTGATTGTTGCAAGTAAGCAAAAATTCTGCACAGCAACAATAAGGGGTGCCTTTAAACTGCTTTGTCAGCAGCAAACGAAGACCCACAATCAGACAGGTGCTTGAGGGATAGTTGAATTTCCATTTTTTGTTCCTTTTGATAAATCAGAGACAAAAAGGGTAAAAGTAGACGTCCAATTTAATCCAGAATTTTATTCCATGTATGAGGGACTGACCATGACTGAGGACCTTTAAAGCTGTGTCAGTGATTAAACTTCTTTTACCCAACACGTTCAAACTGGTTGAGAGACATCATCTTTCCACACTGGTGTCATGTATGACCAAGGCAGCACAGGGGGTTGAAGTTGACCCACCACAGATGCGCCTCTGAGCTGGCAGGGGAGGTAGTAACAGTGCCACGTGGGCGAAAATGTGTGCAGTGAGGGGCAGCACGTGTAGCATGTTACCAACGGTTCTGCAGTCCCTCTAGCTGCTGTGACGCCAGCTTCATGTATGTAAGCACATACCAACGAAGCACGAGTCACCTCTACATGGAATGTGAAAATTATCCAGAAGAAACTGAACTTTTTTTTTCTTTTAAAAACAGTGTTGAATGAAAATGGCTACAGGGAGTGTTTCAATTTGATTAGTTAAAACAAAACTAACATTATAAGCTGGTAACCTTTAAGTTGTTTGACTTAAGTAGCTTTTCTGTTGTTGTTGTTGTTGTTGTTGTAGCTGTTCCCTGAAATCCTTAGGTTTGTATGAGGACTGCTCGAAAACAAAGATGTTCTGGGTCAAACACATAAGATGCTCCTGCAAGTGTTGTTGTTTACTTCAGCAAGTGCAGCATTTGCAGAACAACAAGGAGGACACTACTCTATATTTAACAATGTAGTGTGATAGATGTCAAATGCACGACTGATACACTAAAACAACCAGAAACGATGAGCTAAAACAACCAGAAACAATGAGCTAAAACAACCAGAAACAATGAGCTAAAACAATCAGAAACAATGAGCTAAAACAACCAGAAACAATGAGTTAAAACAACCAGAAACAACGAGCTAAAACAACCAGAAACAATGAGCTAAAACAACCAGAAACAATGAGCTAAAACAACCAGAAACAACGAGTTAAAACAATCAGAAACAATGAGCTAAAACAACCAGAAACAATGAGCTAAAACAACCAGAAACAATGAGCTAAAACAACCAGAAACAATGAGTTAAAACAACCAGAAACAACGAGCTAAAACAACCAGAAACAATGAGTTAAAACAACCAGAAACAATGACTTAAAACAACCAGAAACAATGAGCTAAAACAACCAGAAACAATGACTTAAAACAACCAGAAACAATGAGCTAAAACAACCAGAAACAATGAGCTAAAACAACCAGAAACAATGAGCTAAAACAACCAGAAACAATGAGTTAAAACAACTAGAAACAATGAGCTAAAACAATCAGAAACAATGAGTTAAAACAACCAGAAACAATGAGCTAAAACAACCAGAAACAATGAGCTAAAACAACCAGAAACCATGAATACCAACAAACTAAACATGATCTGATAGTAATTTTTTTATTCAGCAGCTCTGTATGAAATACAATCAAATCATATATGCTGTGTGCCATATCTTAATTTTTTCTGAGTATTTGTTGTTACTTCATCTCCAACTGTTTCACATCAACTGATGTCAGAGGTACAGCTGTTGGGCTACAAAGGAAAGCAGTTTGCCTTACTCAGCATGCAAGTTGAATATATTTGTATATATTTAAAAAAAAAAAAAAGAACTTTATTGATACTTTTTAAGTTGTCTAAAGTTTTACGTTTCTCTCTACTGTATAAAAATTACTGTGGCAAAGACAAGAAAAGAAAAATAAAATCCATATGGCCAGTTGGATCATGCTGAGGTCAAGGAGAACCAGTGGTGAGAAGACAGATTGTGGTGCAAGAGAGTAAATGTCAAGTTGAGTTGTAAAGTTTGTGAATAAGTCTAGAGAGCAATCGAGCTATCCTCAAATAAAAATAGTTGTCAAAACACCAAATTCAAAACTGTCAAAATAGACAGTTATTGTCCGAGCAGAGTCTTAAAACAGCAGAAAGTTTTGCAATTTCAAAACAAGTTTACAAACTGAAGGACTTCTAATGCAGCCACAGTCAGGTGATTGCAAAAGTGCTTATTAATCTAAAATATACATTTAGTTCTAGTTGTTCTTACTAGTTTAATTAAAAATGACTAATTAGCACAAAGTTATTGTACTTTCATTTGACTTTCCAACCTCCTAGTCCCCTCTGAGATGGGTTAAGCCAGAACGTCGTCAGTGATGCTGGCTCCAACAGACAATGTTTTAAATGATGTGCAGGAAACACGACTGGTGGACTGGATGTGTGCTGCTGGTTGTAGCCAAGCTGAATAAGGGTCTGTAGTCAAAACCATTTGGAAAAAGCCTGGCAGGCATGTAGCACTGGGACAGCGAGGGTTGCTTTTAGCTGCACTAACTGCTAATCTCCTCTACTGCCACAGAGCTGGGTAATGTCAGCGTGTCCTGCAGTCACTGAAATGTTTGTGCATATATACGTACAAGTCAAGGTCTGATACAAAAAGGCTGGGTGAAAAAAATCCACAGGGATCCATCGATATAAAAAATCCTAAATATGTGCAACACACAGCATTTCTATAAAGGTTTAGTTTAATAACATCTATTACTAAAAGAAAATGAAGCAATAGCTACATTTTAGGACTATTTCTGACAAAGTAGAGCACATCATTCGACAACAGCTTCTCTTACTTTAAAATTCTGTTTTTACAATTTCCATTTCCAGAGTACCTCATCACATTTTCATACACCCACATTCATAATATATGTACAAAAACGTGAGCAGACACAGACTCTAGTGTGCCCTAGATATACTGTCCAATGCAGCCCTCTTTTTTTTGTGATCAGGCAAACAGCTCGAACACCTCAGGCGCTCTACATTGGCTGAGACAAAGAGGCTTTTTGGAAAAGACTGCTTTAATTCTGCATTTTCATACATTTTCAAGATGTATGGAAACTGAAGTACTGTGGGAACTGTAGTAATATTAATATAACATAAAGTGGTGTGTGAATGTTTGTGAACTCTTTAGAATTTTCTATATTTCTGCATAAATGACCGAAAACATCGTCAGATTTTTACACAAGTCCTAAAAGTAAATAAAGAGAGCCCAGTTAAACAAATGAAACAAAATATTATACTTGATCTTTTATTTATTGAGGAAAATGATCCAATATTACATATTTGTGAGTGGTAAAAGTATGTGAACCTCTAGGATTAGCAGTTAATTTGAAGGTGAAATTAGAGTCAGGTGTTTTCAGTCAATGAGATGATGATCAGGTGTGAGTGGACACCCAGTTTGATTTAAAGAACAGGATCTATCAAAGTCTGCTCTTCACAACACGTTTGTGGAAGTGTATCATGGCAGGAACAAAGGAGATTTCCGAGGACCTCTGAATACGAGTTGTTGAAGTTCATCTGGCTGGAAAATATCAAAGTTCATGCTCAATAATCAAAAATCCAACAAAGTCATCTTTTGAGCCTGTTTTGCAGCATCTGTGACGGACTTGTGACCTGTCGAGGGTGTACCCCGCCTCTCGCACAGTGATGGCTGGACATACCAGTGACCCCTGTGATCCTAAAATGAAGAAGTGGATAACAGATAATGGATGGATGGATGGGCCAGGACGGCTTGCCATCACTGATGGAACAATGAATTCTGAATTATATCAGAGAATTGTAAAAGAAAATGTCAGGACATCTGTCCATGAACTGAATCTCAAGAGAAGGTGGGTCATGCAGCAAGACAATGACCCTAAGCACAAAGGTCGTTCTACCAAAGAATGGTTCAAGAAGAATAAAGATCATGTTTTGGAATGGCCAAGTTCCAGATGTTGTGGAAGGACCTGAAGCAGCATTTAATGTGAGGAAACCACCAACATCCCAGAGTTGTAGCTGTTCTGTATGGAGGAATGGGCTAAAATGCTGAATGGGATGAGGGTGGGGGTCACAGCAGGTACTGAAAGCAAAGGTTCGCATACTTTTGCCACACAAATATTGGATCATTATCCTCAATAAATAAAAATCAAGTATAATATTTGTGTCTCACTTGTTCAACTGGCGTCTCTTTACCTATTTTTAGGGCTTGTGTGAAAATCTGTTGATGGTTTAGGACATATTTATGCAGAAATATAGAAAATTCTACAGTTCACAGTCTGTCAAGCACCACTGTACATTACGTTTTATTTAGCCATTTTTAAAATCAATTTCAACAAGTCTCTTATCCTCCTAGGACTTTTGCTCCATGCTGGAATTATTAAGTTTTAGCATAAGTATGGAGTTTGTAAGGAAACAATCATCAGACTTATGTGATTTGGGCCACTCTCCAATTGAAGTGGCCAACTTTTCTTTAGGAACGCTAAGGTATAATACAATACAGCATATAGGCCTTTACATAAGTGTTTGCGTGTTTCAAGAGTAAAAAAAGAACTGAGCAGGGTGTAAGAGTCAGTATAAACTAAACAGTGCTGTTAGAAAGGGTAAATTATGGTGTAAAAGTGTGGTATGAAAAACCACAAAATGTTTTTTTAAGCATTTTTTTAAATTAAGTGCACAAATAGAATTTACAGCGTACAGTTTTCTACAGGAAAAGATTTAGTGCTAAATGACTTTTTTTTTTCAAACAAGAAATATAGAACTATGGGTCAGGAATCAGCCCCCTAGAGGGGAGATACCATCGGAGTGTCAAAGCTGACAGCTAAGCCTGCTGCTCCAAGCACAGTAGGGGAGTGGCTGAATATTTGTGACCTTGGTTACTTTTGTGGGAGCCTCAGGCACGTCAGTAGCAGCCCTGAGTTTTGTTTAAATGAGACTTCAAGGATGCAAGGTTCTTTATTTGCCATACACACCACATGTGGTACATGTGATGGAACAAAACGGTGTATAAAGAGTCCCAGGCACATCCAACAAAAGTATTAAAATGTAAAAGAAAAACGGTAATAAGATCTAAGATATGAACTAAGAAAAATGTTACCTTAAAATACATTAACAATATGCCGAACAGCAGCACGAACATGAGTCTGTGAGCAGATGAGACTTGATACTGTTATTGTAGATCAGTGACATCCTCAAAAGGCTTAAGCAAATATTTTATTAAATGCAAAAAAAAAAGATACGCTTGGATGTTCAAATACAGACCAGTAATCAAGAGTGGACTGTCCACTTATTCTGGTTTGCTGATTTTATCCACAGTTTTTTCAAAACGGTCCTTGAGCAAAGCACCAAGTTGGCCCTCAGGTCAGCTGAGCTCCATGCGTCGCAGCTTTGCCACCAAGACTGTGTGTCCATAGAGACACATTCTAAATATTTGTAATACCTAGCTAAAATTAAAAATATATACTTTTTTTAGGGGGGGGGGGG